TCTCTCTCTCGTCTGAAGTCACTAAGCTTCGGGGTTCAGGAGAGAGTTGTTGGCTCGCATTATTCTTTGGAGGCGGTGGCTGCCCGCCAGAGGCAGCTGCGGGTCGTTTGCATTGCAGGGAGTCTATGATTTTTGAGGGAGCTCTTCCTTCCCTTAGATCGTCCGCTTCTTTAGAGTGGGCCTCTGCCTCGCACGGATTGAATTCGCCCTTTAATCTTTCCCCACCCTCCCTCTCGCTGGCCCACTCCGCAGTTTAACAAGCTTTGCAGACCGTTCCAGGAGGCTCATCCCCGGAGATCTGACAGCAGCTGGCGGACAAAGGAGGAATTATTTCATAGGCTCTGGCTGGGTGGGTTCGGAGAGTCAATTTATGGCGCACATGGTTCTCTCTTTCTCTCTCTCTCTCTCCCTCTTTCTCCCCTTCCCTCCCCTGGACGTAGCTGGCTGGGTCTTACCTCCTAGGCTCAGCAGACCCCCTGGGGCCCGGGGGAGTAGGCAGCAACCTCCCAGAGGAGGAGCAAATTCCCTTTGTGTCTGGGCACATTCTTGGAGTTTCACCAAGGTGATGCTGAGGCTGAAAGGGGTGAACATGGGGCTGTCGGATGTGAGGAGAGCTGCTTTCAGTTAAATGACGCACTTCTTTTCTTTTTGATGGTGCAGAAAAAAGAAAGCAAAAAAGAGAGAATAAAAAAAAAAAGATGGACTAGGCAGGAGACAGGGGTGTGTGGCTCTTTTGCTACAGAGAAAAGTGTATTTCTGGCCAGCACATTGCTTATTATCTGACAAGAGTGTTTCAAGTGCCTCTTTTTATCTCTCCAGATAGAGATTATTTCAGCCATTACTTCAGAAATGATGGCAAAGGAGGAGTAAGTGGGCCATTGCAACATCATCTTTAAACCCTGCACTGGACGGCAGCTTCCTACAAGACACCAGCCAAGCGAACGGGAGGGTCAGAAAGGTGCGTTAGTCACCGCTGAGCACCCACAGCCTGCCAGGTAGGACGAGCTAGCAGGCCCAGAGCCGCTGTCCCTGTCCGCAGAGACAGGTGCACGGCAGCGTGGGAGGGACTTTGCTCCTCCCAGTAATATCGGGGAAGGTCCCGAAGCTCGTACCTACATCACTGTGAGGCATCTTGAGGGTTTTTAAACTTTTTTAACCATTTAGAATGGGAAACCTCTATGAGGTATAACACAGATATCAAGATCCTCAATCTTTTTCTTTTCCCTTTGAGAAGAAAGAAGTGAAAATTAGAAAAAGTAACATCAGAGGTAAAAAATATGTCTCAAGGGCCGCCGCAATCTCCCAAGCATTCTCACGTCTGACTCGTAGTGCGGAGCCTTCAATTAAGAAAGGAAAATCCTATGCCTTACCAGCCACTTAGCCAGGCACTGGCTACCACCACCCGCCACACAGCTGACCTTATTTCTCCTTTGTGACCTCACAATGCAGATCTCTCGTTTCTACACCTGCTCCCTCCTGCCACCCTCGTATTCTCACAGCCAGGCTGGGGATACTCTCACATCCTGGCCTTGCTTCTTTGGGTCCCTTTGCCACCCGAGTGGGCACACACGGCTAAGGTGTGCACCTAGAAGCCAGTCTGATGCCGAGTGCCTGACAGGGAAGTGACCTTGATTCACACGCATTCTTCCCGTTTAACCCAAATTAAGTCTGTTTCTACCTCACCTGCCTTAGACCGCTCTAACCCCATCCAGGAGGGGAAACTGGACAGCAGCAAGGTTGAGATGGAGAAGTACTCAATTCCAAATTAAGGAAAAAATGCAAACCCATGAGCACATGAGAGAGTCACTCTAAGGGCCTCAAAGGAGGACCATGAGCTCAAGTTTCACTGGCTTAATGGTAAACTGGCCTCTGTCCAGAGGCTGCCAGTGCCCACACCCTTGCACTGACTTCAGTGCTCACTGCATGCCGATCTGAACAGCTCACCGCAGCCTCAAGGCACAACTGGATTTCTGGAAATAATCAAAGGCTTTTGGACTTCGGCGTTGTGCTTCAGGTAATTGGTCAAGCTAAGTGTGGAAGTCTTCTCCTGCAGTTCATTAGCTCTATCTGAGAAGAGTTCTCTCAGTCAGAGCATGCACCCCGTAGCCCACAAAATATGGCCCAGAATTATTCCAAGATCATTTAACAAAGAAGTGACAGAGTCCAGTTTGCGCTCCTGACACCCACACCTGGGCCGTAAACCAAGCTGTCTGCACCTTCCAGAGCGCAGAGGTCAGACTTGGAGCTGCACTGTTCCTCGACCGCGTGCCCCAGACAACAGGGATTTGCTTATCCTTGCAACTAATAACCATCTTCAGGAAAGGGTTTTGTTTTGACCCAAACTTCATCCCATGGCTTTAATCCCACTGCATTTGTCTTCTTCAGCCTCACTGAATACAGAGAAAGAAAAGCTTCGCCCAGCTTGCCAGAGAGGTAAATAGGTTTAAACTTCACCACAGATGGCCTCGTTGCCCGATGCCAGATTTTCCCCAACAACTGATGCGGCTACTGATGTGGCAAAGAACCACAGCTAAGCCAGGCTTCTGTCCACCTCTGAGACCACAGAGACAGGGAAGGGACAGGAAGGCAGCAAGGGTGGGCAGCTTGGGGTAAAGGATGGAACAGAAGGCAAGTGAGCGACTGAGAAAGAAAAGAGCTGCACTGGGAGCAGCCGTGAGGAGAAAAGGCACAGAAACAAGTCGACTGCGTGTCAGATTTGTGTGCTTCTTTAGTGCCCGCCTCCGTGCGCAGAGGACTCTGCCTCCTTTTATTTTGAATTAGGCCTGTATAAGGCTGAAGACATTTTCTCATTCTCTTCTTTGGGTGTGGAGAGGGAAAAGTAACATTGTAATATTGTTTATCATTTAAAATTTTTATTCTTTCTTTTTTCCTATGTAATCAGCCACCACTTTCCCACCATTCTCAACTTTTTCCCTCAAAAACATAGCAGTTAGGACAAGTATGCCTTTGCCTTTGCCACACATGAGTAGTTGACTACAATGGGAAAGAAAGAAGGAAGAACAAAAAAAAAAAAAAAAAA